AAAAAAAAAAAAAAAAATCAACTGGACTTGGTTTTAGGTAGAAGACGTTTCACCTCTCATCCAAGAGGCTTCATCAGTTCTGTCCAACTGGTGGTGAGCAGGAGGTATTTATCACCCTGGGTGTTCCAGTCCTTTGGTGGCCCACAATGTCCTCTAACAACTCAATCATTAGGGTCCGGTTTTGGTGAGCGTCGTTACCTGTCTTTGAACCCTCACCTGTGGACCGACGCCTGTTGTCCTGGTGGGCATGTTTGGGCAGAGATCTCAAAACAGAGTTGTAGATGGGTGAAAAGTTGTGTCTTAGTCCACCACCCTCATTTAGTGAGGGGTGTTCTATTTGGACAAAAATGAACATGAAACATCTTCTACCTACCAGTTGATTTTTTCTACGTTTTTTCAGCTTACCATGACCTGGATGACTAAGAATCTGTACAGACATGTTGCTACTCACTTTGGGAAGGTACTTAGGAAGTGCTTTGTTAGGATGATAAGGCTCTACGAGGTCTTTATGATACAATGGAGCCTTGTTATTAAGGGCTTTGTATGTTAGGAGAAGGATTTTAAATTCTATTCTGACTTTTACAGGGAGCCAGTGGAGAGAAGCTAATATGGGAGAGATATGATCTCTCTTGCTAGTTCCTGTCAGTACTCTGGCTGCAGCATTTTGGATTAACTGGAGGCTTTTTAGGGAATTATTGGGACATCCTGATAGTAAAGAGTTACAGTAGTCCAGCCTGGAGGTAACAAATGCATGGACCAGTTTTTCAGCATCACTTTGAGACAGGATGCTCCTGATTTTTGCAATATTACGCAGGTGAAAGAAGGCAGTTCTAGAGACTTGATTTATGTGTGATTTAAAGGACATATTCTGATCAAATATGACTCCAAGATTCCTCACAGTAATACTGGAGGCAAGAGCTATGTCATCTAAAGTAACTATATGATTAGACAGCAGATTTCTAAGGTTTTCAGGCCCAAGCACAATAACTTCAGTTTTGTCAGAGTTTAGAAGTAAGAAGTTGCAGGTCATCCAGGCCTTTATGTCTTTAAGACATGCTTGAAGTTTGACCAGCTGACCTGATTCATTTGGCTTCATAGATAAATATAACTGAGTATCATCTGCATAGCAATGGAAATTTATGTTGTGCTTCCTGATAATATTTCAGTTTGTGTGGAACATTTGTCATTGACATGAACAAATTGAAATCTTTCTGATAAATAAGATTTGAACCAACTTAGCGCAGTTCCTTTAATCCCAATAACATGTTCAAGTCTCTGCAGTAAGATGCTGTGATCAGTGGTGTCAAAAGCAGCACTGAGATCTAAGAGGACAAGTATGGAGACAAGTCCTTTGTCCGAGGCTAGGAGAAGATCGTTGGTGACTTTCACCAATGCGGTTTTTGTACTATGATGGACTCTAAATCCTGACTGAAAATCCTCAAACAAATCATTCTTGTGCAAGTGGTCACATAACTGCTTTGCAACAGCTTTTTCAAGGATTTTGGAAATAAATGGGCGATTGGATATTGGTCTATAATTAGCTAGGACACCTGGGTCAAAGGTAGGCTTTTTGAGTAGCGGTTTAATTACTGCAAGTTTAAAAGCCTGTGGAACATAACCTGTTAATAGAGAGAGGTTAATCAGATCTAGTATGGATGTGTTGATTAGGGGCAAGCCGTCTTTGAGCAGCCTGGTCGGGATGGGGTCCAGGAGACATGTTGATGATTTAGATGAAGCAATTGTTGAGGTCAACTCAGAGAGATCTATAGGGGAGAAGTAGTCCAAGTATAAATGAGGTCTTACAGATGTTTCTAAAGCCATTGTAGTAGATGGCACATCTGCGAGAGCTGTGGGAGTGGTCCGACCAAGTTTTTCTCTAATAGTTGTAATTTTATTTGTAAAGAAGCTCATGAAGTCATTGCTGCTGAGATCTAAGGGAATGATGGGTACTTAGCTAAACTAAGCAAAAGCACCTGATCAGTCTTTGGTGCCATTATGACCAGATCATTGCAAACCTGCTCTGCACATACAGTGTACTGCACCAGCAGGATTATAGTAAACTAGAATATCAGAGCCGATATGTTTCATCATTGACATGGTAATCCCTGTGAAACTTCAAATAGAATTAAATAGGTCAGATCTACACACACACAGAATTACACACACTTAAAAGACTCTCAGCAACTCAGTTTAATTGACTAAAACTTTTACACATGCTTTGCACAAAAATCCATTAGATTAATCTATTGGTTAATTTCCCTTATCCCATTAATCACTATACCCAATAGGCTTGCAAATACAAAAATCACTGTAATCAGCTTATTGCATGTTTCCACATTTTCTGCAAACAAAAGCACCAGCAAAAACAATCCAACATGTTTTATTGCAGATTTAGAAGTCCTATATCAAAGAAAATAGAAATGGGAGTACGGTCCAAAGGGCATGTGACTCTCACCTCTTCTCACCCCCCTGGAGGATTTAAGGATTTATTCTCAGTTGTAGCACTTCTGCATGGTATGGTAAAACTGCAGAAACTGGCACATTCAAAAGCCAGTAAGCCTAACTCGAGGAAATCAAACTAGTAATGACTTATTAATTTTTTATTGATTAGACCATTCATTGTGAGGAAAGAGCGAACACTTATTGAAATGAGTGTTTTGAATGTATTTAATTTTTTACAAGATTACAGGTATTATCTTTAGTAAACATAGACCACTGTCCTGCCCTTGCACTGATTTACAGAGAACTGTTGATTTTGGAGCAATATCCTGCAGCTGTTAAACAATTTTTTTTTGTCTTGAGGAGTCTCACTTTTGTTCCTTCTACAAAATGTCACGGCTAATTTTATTAATGAAGGATCAAAGACAAACACCACTAACTCCCCTCAGCACAGCGATATCCTTTATCTGTTATCCCCTGGATAGAAGCTGAGGACATAATTACACCAATACTTGTAATCTAATCTACAAATGAATTTACCTGCATGTTAATTAAAAGAAAACCCCACTCTTACTATATGTACCTGTATACACTTGATTTCCCATAAATTATTTCTGAATGAAACTATTATTACCATCCTTGTTGCCCAGAACCCCCTACCCTTAGCTCATTGTGTGTAAATAATATATACTGTTTATACGAATATGCAGTTTGTTACTACACCATTCTTACTTACTCTATCTGCCACAATGTATCACATCTACACACTCCAAAATACAGGTTGGTCAATATGATCATGAAAAAGAGCTTCACTTCCATCACGATGGGTCATGTTAAGTTGCTGCATGCCAAGTAAGAGTACTGTACTTTGTCAACTTCTCACACACCGCGTGATAAACTTGATAAAGTTTAATGTGGGATCGTTGTAAGAATTTCCCCTCCTCACTCACAGAGCTGTTCGCCCGCTTCACTCCCCTGCTCAAAGCCGCACCAGGCCAGTCGACTCATTATCGCTTAGCGCTCACCTTGGATTGCATCCCACTCCCCTCAAGTTGCACCCACTTACTCCAAAAAAGGGGGAAAAAATCTGCATGTATTAAATACATTAGAAACGTCATTATTGGGCTTGGAATGGACAGTTTTTGACTGAAAAGTGTTGGATAACTCTGCAAGACAGATGTATTTTAGGTTGGGCAAGGGCATGCGTCAGTCTCATGGCATGAGTGGGAGATAGGGCAATGCTCCCTCCTTTAAAAAAACAAACAAACAAACAAAAAGCACTTTGTCTAAAATCTCCCCGCTTTCGCTCACTCCGCTCACATGCTCTGGTTGTCAGTGACTTGGAGCTCACACATTAAAGTGTTGATTGTAATAGGTGACATTGCCAAATTCTGCTTAGTGGCATTCAGTATGACCCAGTTGTGAGACAGTGGTTGAAACTTGTCCCAAAACCAATGATGTTTTTTTTTGCATTTTGACTCATTTCTATTCACACTGTTAAACAAATGGCAGCATCACTATCTATAATTAACATTGTACACCTACATGTCCACACAGAGGTCTGTAAATAGTGAGAATATCTATAACTGAGTTTAATGCAGAGCATATATTTGTAGATAGTGAAGATGGTGCATCTTAATGTTAACATATTTTCACTTAGAATTAGCTTCTCATATCAGAGACTAGACGAGTGGTCTTTCCCAGGGAGTTTTCTTTACCCAGGAGTTTCTTAGTCCTTGGTCTTTAAAATGTTAAATTAGAAGAAATTTGCTGCTCCCAAGACCACTTGGCATCTTTTCCCACCTACTTCATTTGCTCTGATGTTGCTTTATCTTTCAGCCCTTAAGCTACATATTCTCATATAGCCTCATCATTTTGACACTTGCATAACAAACTCAGGGCAGAGTGCACTGTCAAATGTTGCTCGCTGATTATGTGAAATTTCACAGTGAACATTTTGTTGACTCTTAATTATAAACCTAAAATAAGGCAAAAGTCAAACAAGCTCACCAAATAAACTAATGAGATCCTCTCAAGGCATTCAAAGAGCCTTGACATTTTGAGAACTCTGTTTTGGAGAAATTGCTGCCATTCTGCAGCTTGGATTTGGTAAGAAGACTAGACTGAGTCAGAGGGGAGTTAACCCTTTTCTCTACAAGTCACACACAGGTGCTGCACAATCTATTTTAATCACTGTCTATGTCCTAGTCATTTTTTCCCCGTTCGTCTTTTCTTCCATCTGACCAAGCAATCATTTATCAATCTACACATTCATCCATCCATCCATCAATTAATCAGTCTTTGTCAGTTGGTTTTTCTGCTTTACTCTATACCTGATTTTATTTAATTTTTAAATATCTGCTCAGACTTTGAACACCTGCTGACTACTTACATTGAAATGCTTCCTTGTGCACAGAGCGGGAAATTAGATATTACTCTGTGAACACAAACACACATACACACACTGCTGTAGCTCAGGAGGTGGCACGTGTCCCAGAACCCTGAAGTCTGTGTGTGTGTGTCTGGTATTACTCACACTGTGGGGTCCTAAATTTGTTTAGTCTGTTTACTATGTTGCGCTGTGGGGGACTCATCTTCCTTGTGGGGACCAGATGTCGGTCTCCATCATATAAATCATTAAATAATTGGGAAAGGACTTGGTTTAAGGGTAGGGGTAAAGTTTTAGGATTAAGCAAGTAATGGTTATGGTTAAAGATAGGATACGTCTCCAGGAAATGAATGTGAGGCAAAGTAATGTCCCCACAAGAAATGAAAACTGGTGTGTATGTGTGTGGGGCCTTTCTTTTTTATTATTTTGGGATGGAAAACCAGGAGCACACTAGCTTTAAGGGGACCAATGTCACTTGTGGGGAACAGAGTTTATCAGATTTTACAAAAACAACGCTGTCTAAAGTTAAAGCAACTGTCAGCTGTGGTTAAGGGTAGGATAAGGGTTAGGTATTAGACAAGTAGCAGTTATGGTTAATATTAGGGTTAAGTCTCTTTGAAATGTCTATGTAAGGTCCCAGTAAGCGACAAAGACAAGTGTGGTTATGTGTGTGTGTGTGTGTGTGTGTGTGTGTGAGGATGCTGTAAAAAAACAATGATGCTCTTTGTGTCCTCCCCCACCCCAACCCCAGACATTTGTGTGTATATGTGTGTGGAAAGTCAAAGACACAAATACTCTTAACTGGAGTGTGCACTCACTGATATGCAATAACTGCACTGTTAGTGCAGAGGTTTACAGCATATGGCTGCACTACATCATTTTGTGTGAGGGTGTGTCTACTTGCACTTATGATAGAGTATTACCTGTACACAAAAATAAAAATACACACCTAAAGCTGCACTCAGCAGTTGCCTTCTCAACATAATGATCAGTGATGAACCACCCCAGTGATGAATTTAGTGTTTACTCTTCTTACTGAAATTGACCAGGCTCATTCCATCTCAAACCAGCAGTCAAGGCTGGTTGTCATCAGTTGTGACTGGGAAATGTTTTATCATTTTGGAGCAGCTACTGTTTATGGGTTGTTTTGGAAGGCACTTATAATTTACTTTACTATTTAGGTGCTGTAAGGTCTTGATGCTGAAAAACACCTCATACCTCAGAAAGTTCACAGCTTGTAGCTACATAGTTACTTGAATCATTTTAAAGATGGAAAACTGTTTAATTGAACATTTGATATTTTCTGAAGAAGTTTCTACATAAAACAAGAGGCAGGCAAACCAAAAAAAGTCTTTACAGATTTTAAATGTTGCAAAAATGGCATGTAAAAAAGTGGTGATGATATTCAGACTAATTTTGTTCTTACTTTGTTTTCCTCCTGAGTGGGTACTGTGTAGAAAAAGAACTGTTCACATAGTGTAGCCAAAGCTATATAGAGGTAATTTAGAGAGTAGTTGAAGAACAATTTTGTCCTTGTTGTGAAAGCAGTGAAATGCCTTCAACGTATATTGTTGACTCCCTGTGCACTATTCATTTTGCATTCACCTCTGGAATAGACCAAAATTCCAAAAAAAGTGTTTTTCTTGTTTAGGCATAACTCTAGGAATGGATGTAGTCAAAGAATTGGCATTATGGTTTTGATGTTGCTGCTCATCACAAGCATGGGCTGTGTGAATTAGCAGCCAATCACAACTCAGCTTATAGTATGTATGACATGGATAAATAAGAGCATTGCTTTGCTGAAAAGAAAGACGATTAATATTTTACATGTCAGCACAACTTTGGATTACCTTAAGCCAGCCTGAAAGAAAGAGACAGAGTCAGACAGAGAGAGGGGCTTGTTCCCAGTTGTCTAGGTAGTAAGGTGTAATAATAGACTGACTTTGTTGCATTTCTGACAACACTACACTGCTCTACTCTGTGTGGTGCTGAAAATTTTGCTTCATGTTTAGACAGTGGGATGCTGAAAAACTCATCAAAGAATTTGTTAATGCATCTGTACCTTTGGGCATATGCTGCTAGGTGAACACAGCCGTCAATCAAATGTTTTACTTGTAACCTTATCTATTATGGAGAACATTCACTCTCCTCGTGCACTGCATAGAAACACTGTATCCACACAGTCGATTTCAGCACCATGGACAGAGCTTGGTTGAGCTCCTTAATTTTAGCTCTGTTTGATGCATTTTTTCTCAGACTTCCAAATTTGATGCTTTATGGGAAATCAACATAATCAACCTGTGTCACGCCACTTAACCAAGATCAATAGTGAACAAGAAAAGAATTGAAAATCCTCCTTCCTTCTTCTGAAAGGATGCAGGGGGGGGAGGAAAAAAGACCAACAATATGAGGAAGAAATGTTTCTGCCTCAATTCTCCGACCTTTGTCTAAAATGTGAACCACTGAATAGGCCATATACGTCCACTTTCAGGTCTTTGAAATGAGGTACACCTGTTTTGTGTAGATTTAACTGGCCTGCGTTCATACAGATTGACAGACTGGTGATGTTCATTTGTCACAGGTCATCTGTATTTTTCTTTACCATAACATCTGCTACACCTGTACAGTCACGACCTACAGTGCAGTATTCAACAGTTAACAACAGTTGATGTATGTCATTCAACTTTATTTTACCTCACTGTGGCGCCTGAACTCCCTCTGCACAACGCTGACGACTGGCACCTGAAGCGCCAGCGAGACAAACTCCAACTTGACGAACTCATCCCGGTTCCGTGGAAAGGCGATCATGGTGGAAACTCCCTGCACGACCACGGTGTGACACACGCTTTCCACGAAGGACAGCGGGTCCTCGTTCTCGGAGCTGCCTTCGGAGGAGAAGGAGAACGCTGGCAGCTCCCCGAGTCCAGACCCCACGGCCATGACAACCTCCAGAGTTAAATTGTAGGGCAGCACTCCGGCCCGGTTCAGAGCCTCGACAGCGAGCAGGACTGAGTCTCGGGGTGCGAACACACGGTTCTCCCTCGAGGTGTTCTCCTCTCGCTGCCTTGTCTGACTCTTACTCCTGTTGCCCCCCCGCTGGCTATTAACGGTGCCTCTAGTCCTGAGGTTTGAGTATCCAGGCGCCCTGGCACTTATTTTATCCGGCTTTTCCATGTCCAGCCGCGTGCCTCCCTTGGTGTCCCAGTCCTCAGAACTGCTGCCAGCAGTGGAAGAGATCAACCGCGGCTGAACGTGCAGAGTCCCGACCCGAACCGTGTGGCCGATCCGTTTCAGCACCTGGCACGGCTGCGGGTGCGAGTGAGCGCACGGCGGGAGAAAGACGAGAGCGCACAGTAGGAAACATAATGGTGGCGAGACACCGGTGCCTGCTCGAGTCGCTGGGTCATTCATCATCACCATCGTCTATATCCTCACCTCTCCAGAGCCGGACCAGATGCCCCGTCCAACCACAGACCGGTCGAACACCGGGGCCGCTATGTTGGTCCACCTCCTGGCCCCTCGCGTGTGGCCCTGGTGCACCGCTGAGACCAGCTGCAGCCCCCGCTCCAGCTCTAGCTCGCGGTAAAGTTGTGCGTTTCTCCACGGACACAGACAACAGGCTGCTGAGGCGCGAGATTAGGCACGAGCGGCGCACGAGCAAAAAATTATTCCTGAAAGCGCTGTTTTTCATCTCAAAAGATTTTCATCATTCGAGCCTTCAGATTACTAAACAGACCATGGGATCAAGCGGTAAAATTTTCCTATATTCCAGTGGCTGACAAAAATATGAAATAGGGGGTAGGCAAGCGCAGAAGAGGAAATGCCGGGGGAAAAAAGGTCAGTGCTCATCAAACACATTCCAAAATAGTGTAACCCACCGCTGGAAACATCTGATGGCTTGGAAAACCAATTATCCCATTATCATCCAGAAGGCATTGCTTCATCGCGCTACTCAAGATAAATGATTTCCCTCCTTGTTAAACACCGGAGGTGAAGCTCTCCAGAGCGCGTGCGAGCTGCTTGGCTCCAGTCAACCTGACACTTTGTGCAGGGGAGACCTGGGGCCGAGAGCGCGGTCTTCTGCGCACGTTCCAATGAGACTTACTCTCAACCTTTTTAACCCCCCCACCTCAAAGTTTTATTTTTAACACGTGAGCAGTTACAGTAACACGTTTCCTGTGAAACACATCTGAACACAATTCACACTTTTTGTTTGGGGGGGGGGGGGGGAACATTTAGGGAGGGGGGTGGCTTTTTTTAGAATGTCTTTTATTCATAAAAAAACAACTTTGCATTAGTTTGTGCAACATACTGAACTAGATATAATCCAGATGGATTAGTGAGATTGCATTGTAGATATTCCCTGTGTGAGTGTGTGAGGGTGTGCTTGTGCTCAACCAATCTAAGCAGTCACCTAAGACTGTTTTATTCAATGACATAGGACCCCCAGATCATTAACAGGAGCTGAAGGAGCCACTATTCAACTAGTGTGCCTCCTACTGTGGTAACATCACAGGTCAGATGTAACAGTTATCACAATCAACAGCCTCAGTCTGAATATTGAACCAGATAAATGATTGATTCAGTAGTCTGATCTAGATTAATGATTGGCTAATGGTCTGGTTTGAAATGGAAGGCACGCTTCCTGGGGTACTGTTAGATCAATGAGCCTGATTGATCTAATACAGCATGACTGCAGATGATGGGACTGGAAGGAATGGTAAGAGAGACGGAAAAGAGACTTTGACAGGAGAGGAAGTGGAAGAGGTAGTGACCAGATGGGTAGGAGCAGAAGGAGGAGGGAGAAGTAGTAGTTTTGGAGGGGGAAAGGAAGCACAGGTGATAAAAATGGAAATGGAGGATTGATGGGAGGAGAAAAGATGGAGAGAGAAGAGGAGCAAATGAGGAGATGAAGGAAAGCATGGAGAAGTGTAGAGACAGAAGAAGAGGAATGAGGAGAGCATGTAAATGAAGGCAATGTGAATGAAAGACAGTTGTTACAAGACACCACTTCAGCTGCAGCCTTTTTTTATAGAATCAAGGGTATTCCAAACATGAGAAAGCTGTTTTATTGGAGAAGATTAAACAGCTGGGGAAAAAAAAGAAATTACATTAAGAGGGGTATTCAAGAAGGGATTAAAGAATGAATCTGGATCTGTGAAAGAACCATCATATTTTTGCTGTTTACTATATAAAAAGAGATCAAATAGTTACATTAACCAAAAGGGGTCTGTGTGCTCCACAGGCCATTAGAGAGCCTGTGGCCTTATGCAGATGACTGTCCTGTGTCTGTATCTTAATATTCTGTCCCTCTCATGTATGTAGCTGGGGATGACATAGTCCAGTACACCACCTTCAACTATGACCTTAGTAAAAAAAAACATATAATTGAGTTGACACATTTGACAATTTCACCAAAAACTGAAACATTTTGAGCCTCATAAACACATTTATTGCATTGAAGTATGTGTACACAATAAAGTGGCTTGTGTGTGTGTGTGTGTGTGTGTGTGTGTGTGTGTGTGTGTGTGTGTATCTATCTAGATAGCAAGAGAGAGACCAAAGCTGCACTTAAAAAAAGTTGATGTTTTGTCAGCAGGCCTTTGTCTTAGTTTTTCCTCTTAGCTGCTGGTCTGTCTTGCCGTCCACTTTCAATTTCTTTCTCTGACTTATTTATGTTCTTTCTTTCTTCTTACCTGTCCTCTGTCATTCTGTCTTCTGGCTTATGGGCTCATCTGATTTCACATGCCTGTCCACCTGCCATATTGGTACACCTATAAGTCTTTCTTCTCTTTTGTTCCTGTCTGCATACCTGTCTGATACCTTGTCTAATTGATTATTCATCCATGTCCGCATGTGTCGACTTTGGTTGTCTGATTTGTGGACCACATCCTTCAACTGCCAGTCT